CTTCACAATATTCAGTGTAAATACTGCAACTACATGGTAATAAGCACTGGGTTGTCAATAACAAGGTTGGCATCTGTAATGTGGCATTGTATGTTCAGCACTGGACTGATAACCAACAGGTTGACAGTTCAAACCCACCAGCTGCTCCTTGGAAATCCTATACAATATCATATGAGTTGGAACCAACTTGATGGTACACAGCAATAACAATAATATATATGTCTCGACTCACAGCAACTTTGCATGGGGTTCCATAGGCTATAATTTTCACAGTAGCCGAACGCCTCCTTTCTACCACAGAACAGCTGGTACTTTCGAACTGCTGACCTTGATGTTAGCAGCCTGACATATAACCACTATGCAACCAGAACTCATTACACTTACATGGAGACTATATTTATATTTAATATTTATGTGTAGAGTCCTAGTGTAGTGTTTTAAGATAAACACTGGACTGATAACTACAAGGTCGAAGGTTCAGACCCACCAGTGCTCCTGGGAAGCCCTATACATGGTTGCAATAATTCAGAACTGACTAGACAGCACTTAACAACAACATATATGAATACATATACACAAACATATATACAATAGGTACTGGGTTAATGCTGTGGACCGCAGAGCCGGTTTGAACTGCAAAATAAGTGGTTCAAGCTCACCAGCCACTCCTCAGAAATCCTATACAAGGTTGCTATGGGTTGGAACTGACTCGACGACTGGATGGCACCTAACAACAACAACAACGACTATGTATAGACATATGTGTTATAAAACATTTAAAATGAATTAAAACTTACATTGCTTACTGTTGTTAAGTGCTGTCGAGTCCGTCCCAACTCAGCAACCCTATATAGGGTTTCCAAGGAGCAGTTGGTGGGCTTGAACTGCCGACCCTGAAGTTCAAACGGCTTTGCAGTCTGTCACATTAACCCACAGCGCCACACCAAGACTCCTATATTACTTGTAGACAATAGTTATTGTTTGGGTATGGGATACTCCAGTTGATTTACTCTATTTTCTAAATATTCCTTAATGTTTTGTAATTTTCTTAATGCAGGGAATGAGTCAACATTGACAGAGTGGAAAGAAATTGCTGTTAAAATTTAAGGAATTACAGAGTCGCTCAAATCTCCCATTGCCTTTGTGTGTAATACTGGGGAGATCTCAAGAGTATCATTAATGAGTTTTATTTTCAGGGATATTTCTGGTCAAGGTTGAGGTCATAATACTCTTAATGGAAGGTTTTGCCACCCACATGTCCCTCTTGGACTTTAACATTTCCCATGGATCAAAAGAGGTCACTGTGTCTGGTCTCCACGAACCAGCTGCCCTCCTCTGAATTTATAGTCAAATGATGAATAGAGACCTTAAAGAAGTTCATTCTTATTATGCTATTCAAGGTTTTAAGATTATAGGCAGTTCCTTCTATGTCTATAATGCAGATTTTTGCTTAATGTTTGCTTTTAATTTTCCCAATGGTTTAATATAGTGGTAAAAAAAAAAAAGAAAGAAAAAGAACAAGGACACGTATCAGGAAAAAGACTGGTGAAAAGGAATGATGTTAAGCTGCTAATATTTCAAAAGCAAGACAGTTGGGATGGCTATAATGGTATAATGTGAGTCTCATCAGTAAAAATCTGCCCAGGAATTTATTATACATGGCTATAATCTATCCATCATGACATAGCGGCAGTGAAATATCCAGAAGATACTAGATACGAATTTCTCATGTACATATAACTGGACTTCAGTTTTCATAGCTTCCATCTTCTTCTCACCACATTCTGCCTTTTTTATGTTCTCAATTATACACCAGCTTGAGAAAAGCCAAACCCCAAAGGTCTTAATCAAGATTATTCTTAAATCACACTTGTAGCTATGTATACTGTAACAACTCATAAACTTTCTCTTTCTACGTTCCTTGAAGGAATAGACCATATCTTGTATAATCTTTTAGATCATTTCAGAGTATAAAACACTGATGTATATAGCATGCCTCAGGAAATATTTGTGGAATTAATGAGGTGCTGTATACTTAGGCTTATTGGAAAACAGCCTAAAGCATTATATTATCACAGGTTAACTAGAGTCACTGTCCATGGGGAAATTTCTTAATTTCTTCTTCTTTTTTTTTTAATCTATAGCATAGATAAAGCAATTATAAATATTTCATATTGCTGTGGGAACAGAAAATGAAATAATGTTTATAAAGCACTAAATATTCTAGAATCAATATGTTCTTGCTACTATTTTCAAGTGAATATATGCTGGACTGCAAGGTCAGTTTGAACTGCAAAGTTGGTTGGAACTGCAAGGTTGACAGTTTAAGCTCACCAGCCACTCCTTGGAAACCCTATACAGGGTCGCTATGAGTTAGAACTGACTTGACGACACATAACAACAACAGCATACATATAGGTAAAATCATAACTAATGATAGTTTTCAACTAGTCAAACCCATGTGTATCATAGTAGAACTGAGCTTTACAGAATTTTCAATGACCGATTTTTTTGGGGAATTAAATCATTAGGCCTTTCTTTCAAGGTGCCACTGGGAGGAATTTAACCTCAAATGTTTGTTTAGCAATCTTTGTACCACCCAGAGACTCCTAACATCATTATGCTTTTTTTGTTTTTGTTACTGAAACTAAATTTGTGCTCAGTTCTTTATATATCTGGTGTTGTAGCAATTAAGTTCTAGGGGACTTGATTGTTGTTTGCACCATGGAACTAGTTCTGACTCATAGCAACCACATATAGTTTCTAAGGAGTGGCTAGTGGGCTTGGACCACAGATCTTGTGGTCCTTGAGGTTCAGTGCTTATCCTACAGCATTACACCAGGACTATTCAAAGCTACCACATTTGTGGAAAGGGTTGTTGTTGTTGTTATTAAGTACCATGGAGTCAGTTCTGACTCATAGTGACCCTACAAAGAGTTTCCGAGGCTGTAAATCTTTATGGGAGCAGAAAGCCTCATCTTTCTCCCGCAGAACCACTAGTAGTTTCGAACTGCCGACCTTGAAGTTAGCAGCCCGATTCGTAACCACCACTACCCTAGAAAGGTAGTATCAAGTATACATCTGAGTGAAATATTAAAGTATTTTCATTTCATTATGTAAAAATTAAAAACATTTTACTGACATACATTGCACATTTTTTTATTCATATTGTTTTTGAACAACGAAGTGTAATTTATATTTACAGCACATCTCAGTTCTGTTCAATTGTGTTTTTAAGTCCCCAGTAACCATATGTGTTGCATATTTGCATAGTGAACAGGATGAATTTATTCGATTCTAAAGGAAATGGCTTGTTTTACTAATTTACCTGATCATTTTGTCCGTGTTAAGAGTCCTCAAGTTGGTTCCGATTCATAGTGACCCTGTATAGGGTATCCAAGGAATGGATGGTGAGCTGGAACCACCAACCTTGCGGTTCAAACGCACCCTGTGGCACATTATCTTACAGTGCCACACCAGGACTCCTAAGTGTCATAAAATATAATTTGACTTAAAATATTATATATGCATAACTTGACTTCAGGTATAAGCATAAAACAAACTTCTTTTTAGAGAGTGCCCTATAATACTAAATATAATAGA